GAAAGTAAGTCAAACGAGGCAAGTGCTCTTTTCTCTGCTCAACCCCAAACCTTGTCGGATGTGCCGTGTCCCTGAGAGAACATCATAAACTACGGGCCCGAAGCAATGCCAAATCATACACAAAATCATACCGAATCGTACCTAAACTCCAGATGTTTCGTATTCCAAACTTCAACATGCCATGGCCCGGGACTGGTTTCCAAGATTCGGCCCCTAAGTGTCTTCCGCTCCCCAAAACGAATCACCCTGCTAGGACCGAAGCGACGCCCAGCGCTGTTTTTTAACGGCGCTGAGAGCGGAAAGCATCCGTTGACATACTGGCACTTCGAGACTTAAAAGAACGGGCATCAAAATTGGTGTCTCGGTCCTGGTTCTGAGCGACTGAGTATCTGAGTCTGTCTGAGTGTTTGAGGTGTCTGCCGCACGGAGATGCGCCTCGCATGTAGGAAGAGTATAGGAAGAGTCTTTGTGAAGCTCAGGGATGCCGGATGCGAGCTAGTGTCTGAGTCTGAGTGCCTGAGTGTTAGCACATATCTGCGGCGCAAACCCCGTGTCAGCCGCTCAACCCTAGAACACATTCCTTCCCCTCTGTATGAGCCCCAAACCCGAACGCCCCAAAGCCCCCTAAAGCATCCTGACCTAGATCCGAAACTTTCCCCCATGAAGCCTAGGAGCAAGTCTGCTTGGAAGAGACAGTTGTGGATGGTCACCTGGCCCGGTGGACGCGTGGAATCGCACTTGAAACCCACCGGGGGGCGTGTTTCAGGATCTGCTTCAGCCTGAGCGCTCTTGATTGCAATCTATCGGTAAGGAAAGAAAGCTCCTGGAATGACTTATTTGCACGCCGTTCTGTCAGCATGTGGGCCCCCAATTCTAGAAGCTGCAGTGTGCCGGAAGGCAGCGGACCTACAAACTCGTCGTACTGGGAACTACGGAGCTAAGGCATGCGGACTGCAAACCATGGCTGCTGACTCCTTGATCCCCTCTCGCTCCCTTCCAAATTCCACTGACGCACTCTCGCTCAAGTACCTCAAAGGTCGGAAAGTCCATCAGAAAGGCCGACGCCCGATGCTCCAAGCCCTTCCGCCTGCTGATTGCCAAGCGCGGACACCACGTCGAAGTCTCCGCGCCGCTGCTCTCCCTCAAAGAGGGGCCGCCTCAGTGGAGCAGTGGCTTGAAACTTGTTTTTTTTTGCTGTTTCTGGTTCTCATGGCAGTAGCTTGCCCCTGCTCTGATTCCAGTTGGGGCCAAGCACAGAACTCCGTTGTTGTCAGAGAACTACGTCTTCAAGACCACCAAGCCTGCTTTCAATTTCCAAGCTGGCATGCTTTCGTCCGGACTTGGCTCGGGGCCTTCATGGATTGATGAGCTGTGCTTAGGGTTGAGCAATGCAGCCAAGAAGCTTTCGCAGGTAGACGCTTAGCATCGGCACCGATGCTGCTTCATCAAAAGCCGATGGAGCCTAGTGCAAACGAGAATGACCAGTGCATCTCTGCCCTCGGCAGCCTACAGCACGCAAACCGGCACTCCCCAATTCAAAGACCTCATCCCGAGCAACCAAAGCCTTAAAGGCTTCATCTTCATCTTGATGCAGGGCTTCTGCTACGGAGCAGAATTCGAGTCAGTAATTGAGCAACCGCAGACTTCGAACCCAAACTCAAGATTTACGTTAGCCAGCTTGCCGCTTGGGGCTTTGGATTGGGGTGGGCGCACCAGCATGTCGCAGCGCTCGTGCCGAAAGCAGCTAATGGCTGTCATGAAGAGATCTCCTTGGTTTAGGCCACGGCCCGCAGCCAAGTGCCGGCTCCAGCTTAATTTCTGGAAGCCCTCACAAGTTGCCATGGCCCAATGGTAAATCGTGTGGAAACCTGACATCCCATGTCAGGTGCAATTACGAGCAGATCTCTGGCCTTGAGTCTGAAGACAAAGGCTGGCGGTCGATTGGTTGTACGGGAGGTCAGGGACTTGATCAAACCTTGAAGCTGCCGAGGGGAGCTCTGCATTCGCGTTACACTTGCAGCCCGGCTTCTATGCATGGTTCGAAGCGTGTTCTTGTCGAACATTTGACGGCTGCATTCCTGCAAGAGGCTAACCATGAGGATTAACCACCAACTTAAGACCATGGAATGATATGGAATGGGCTTGCAGAGGACATGCGCATGCAGGCGTGCCGGGTGTGCTTTGGGATGGTCAGGACATGTGGGCAAAGAACTAGAGTGATATTGAAGTCTCTGCAGACCGCATGATTGGGTTCTTGTGGAGCAGAAGAATCGCAGGCACGCCCAGACTGTCCTCCTCATCATGCGGCCCGAGCGGTTGCGACCGTGGCCGCGACTTTCGCTTGCCTTCCTGCGCTATTCACTATTCCCACAGGAGCTGCAGTGCTAAGGCTTAAGCTCATCAAGGCGCATGGCTCCAAACGTGGGTGCAGCTGTGATCCATGCAAAGTTTCGGGTCTCCTGGGTTTTGGGGGGGGAGCTCAAAGAGCTTCAGTTTAAACGCCTTAACCCTAAGACGCGAAGATTAACCAGGCACAGACCTCAGGACGCAGACTGAAGCAGCAAAGACAGAATGCAATCTGTGTGCTGCGTCCATGCCGCGCCTAAGCGTTGCGCAGGGTTTTTCGACGGATTGTGTTGTTGATGCGCAATGCTGAATGCTCACTGCTTCTTTTTGGTTTAAGCTCAACGAGTTGAAATTTCGCATTTTGATCGCGAACTAGTGCGATTCTTTTTTGTCGGTCGCTCTCGCCCTGGGATTACCGATTCCGCACACATCACGTCCCCTCTGTAAGTGACTGAGCCTCTGCACTTCTGTGCTCGTTTTCCATTTTATGCTTGATGTACTGCTTTCTGGCTGACTGCTTCTTGGTTTTGTACCAAGCTCTGCATGTAACTTAAAATGGCAAACGCAACTGCCACTGACATCTTCTACGCAACAGTGCTAACACAAAACAAATCGCGAAAAGTGGATGGTCTTTCGCGGTTCCCATCTCGGTCTTTCACAGACCACTTTCAAGGGCTATGAATGCTCGTGTTATACAAAATCGAAAAAAGCTTTTGAACAACCTTTATGCGTTGTTGTAGTAGCAGTAAGAAAGGGCGGTAAGTCGCACTTTCTGCTTGCGTGTCTGGCGTGGACATCTCCAGAGAATGGCACAATCGGCCCCATGCGTTGTCGAGACTTTCAGCCCACGCGAAGTTCCCTGCCTGAATTCGCTAGGGATGTTGTTGGCTTCCTAACAATTCAATACACTCTTACATAAGTGCTCTGATGATGATCAGGAGGATTCTGCTCCTGATTGAGCTTCCCTGCTTAGTGTGGTTTCGGGCCATCTGGTCTAGTAGACCTCGCACCTAAAACCCTGTCATCCTGAACTGTTGAACCCATGTCCTGAGTCGGTGGCTCTTCAGGAGGCTGCGATGCGGCGCGTCGACCCCTGCCCCCGCCTTCCAGGCTGAAGGATTTTGGAAGGCATCGACTGTGGGCGGGGCTTGAGGCGGTAAGGGTTTCGAGTTTTCGGATTTGGGCCTCAGCAGGTTTAAGGGCTAATCCTTACAAGAGTTCTAAGGTTACAGTTTTGGTAGGGCTTCCTTTCTAAGGTTTCAGTTTGGTTGTGCAGGACGTGGGCTAGTCATTCTCCATGTTATGTGACAGGCAGCTGTATGCAGCAAGCAAGGCATGTCAGCTGTGAAGCGAGTCGGTTGGTTTTTGATTCGCTTTGCTCCCCGCCGTGAAGCCCTAAATCGGGGAGCAACGCACCAGCTTAGCAAGAATGGGAAGGCATTCCAATCTGAGGGAATACCATGAGAAACTTGGACCTTCATCCCGACCCGGCATCCGATTGACGGTTCCCAAGGTTTGCGGATGGCGGCGCTGACCAGTTCAGTGCTGCTGCTAATACGTCTCAGCGGACACGCACCCCCGCATGCAGTTGACGTTGGCCGCACAAACCCCTGCTGAGAAGGCACGAGCAAGAGCCGGTGAGTTGAGGTCTGCTTGCTGTGTCGTCTGGCTTTCTGCATGTTGGGTGTCTGCGGAGAAAAGATTGTTATGTGAGTCCCTGGTGATCGCCACACTTGTGGTCAATGTCATTGCGGCGGATGCTGGCCCGCTGCACAAGTCATGGAAAATTTCGGGCGAGCTTGGGCACCTGACCCCTTCAAAGTCCTTTCGTGACACTGTTCAATTCTTTTTAAGCCCCTGTGATCCCTTCAAGCTCTGCATACAGTTTGCTCAGAAACTTACTTTGCATATACGATCCACGCCAACCCAGTACAAACCCAGCAAAATCCTGACGTCTACACATTTTAACTCAACCCCTGTTTGTTGGTTTTCGAACTCATGAAACTGGGCGGTCTGGTAAATCCAGCTGAACCGTCCCAATCCACAAACCTGCGTCCAGCGGGGGCAGTCGCAGCATGGCAGGCTCACCCGGAGCCTCAGAGCAACTTGTTTAAGGCACGAGATCAAAAACAGACAGACACACACACACACACAAGAAGCGCAGTTAAAGGCCGAGGTGCGGGATAGCCACCGTTTGCAGGTGGACCCGGACCCTCCTCGCTTGCAATTCGTGGCTGAACTTGTGTTGGGAGATTCACGGGTTCCGAAGCCTGTGCTGTTGAGGCGTTTAAGTCTCGCTACTGTTGAGATGACCGCCACTGCATCGAGATATCGAGCCTGTCATTGACATTGAACATGTTAATTGCTTTCCCTCCTTCAAGGCCTTGCTTTTTCGCCGGCCGCCATGATCAAGTAGTGTCTGGAGCAAATCTCGGCACAAGCCACCCTTTGGTAGCGGAGTGATGCCGCAAAGGAGAGCTCCGCATCCCCAGCAGTGCATGAGCACAAGGGACGGGGGGGAGGGCCAAAATTCTTGCAGTCGTTGGCAATGAACATGAACAGACATGTTAATTGCTTTCCCTCCTTCAAGGCCTTGCTTTTTCGCCGGCCGCCATGATCAAGTAGTGTCTGGAGCAAATCTCGGCACAAGCCACCCTTTGGTAGCGGAGTGATGCCGCAAAGGAGAGCTCCGCATCCACTCTTTCAGAAGGCCTGGTCAGGTGCAGTTGGGGCAGCTGTCGAGCAACCGCGGTCAGCCAGAGGCTGACGTTCCGAAAGTCCTGAAGCCAAAAGCAAAGCCAAACTCAGCTGGATATCAGGGAACCAGCTTTGAGGTCAAAGAGTTGAGCAGCTGTACGAATACGGTTTCTCCCAGAGGGCGGCACGTCAGTCAAAGCAGTGACTGCAGCGAGTTCTTGGAGATAATGTTCTAGCGTCCCTAAATGCTTTAAACGCATGGCCCATTGGATGTCCACTGGGGACGCGCCCGCTCTATAACGTTGGACCGCTCCGCCGCCTCGAAGGCCCCCCGGAGTCAATCCCAAATCTTTATGTACCTCCAAGCAGCGTAACAAAAAGTCCCATCGGTAACGATAACTGCTAGGTGACCCAGGCCAAAGCAAGTCGTCGGGACCCAATGCGTAGAAAACCTGCGAGACCCAAGCAACAATGGCCGGCACCACGATCTTTGTGTGTTGGACTTTGGGATGCCCTCGCATTGAGGTCTTGGAAGCAGAAAAGTTAAGGAAAGCGCAGTCCAAGCCATCTTCAAGCAGGTCAGCAGGCAGAAGGAGATCTCGACGCCTGCACTTCAGCACCTCGCCTATGCGTGCAAGGCCGTAAAAGGCCAGCAGTGTGACTCCACTCCAACGTCGCAGCTGCCACATCCACGCTAGATAGCAGAGCCCCTTCACGATGGGCTCCGGTACAGGGCACCGGTGAACCGGCGGTTCCAAGGCCTCCCATCTTCCCACCAGCTCCCACACCAGTGACAGGTAAGGTTTTACTCCCAGAAGGCGTCTCTGAGCTGCTATGATGGAGTGCCTGAAACTCGAAAGAGTGCGCCCAGAACTGTAGCAGAGGTTCCCATACGCACGGAGGGCCATGGCGGCAAGGACCGGACAAAGGGAAAAGACAAGACAAGGGTCAGACAAGTAAGACAAGCACCAGTTCAGAAAGGCTTCCCAGAGCTTCTCCTCATACTTCAGAGTCACAGCTGTCTGCAAAGGATGTGCCTCCAAACTGCCCAATCTAGGTCCAATCCTCTTGCGCGGTCCTGGGAGAGAGGCCTCGCCGATGCGATTGTGCCCGCACCGCGCGCACGCAGCAATGTTGAACTTCCCGCTGGCCGGCATCCAGCCGACTTGGCGGCAGGCGGCTCGCCCAATACTTGCCGCGAAGCCCTTTGGATATGGTTGAGCAACAGCTGTCCACGACTTTCTGAACTCTGTACTTCGGCCTCGGAGGACGACGTGCGGCAACCTGCATCGGCAAAAATCCCTGCGTCCAGCCAAGTCTCTCAGGCTGGTAGCCAAACGCGTTCTTTTTCGCCAGGGCGTTCCGAACACGCACAAATCAGTGCGCCACAGCGTTGGAGCCGCGGGGCGCCGATAACTCTTGAACCCCGTGAACCTCCACATCCATGAACTGTCGGGTTGTTCGAGCCACCGTTCCACACCATGCTCCTGACATAGCTTGATGAGCTCAACGCACCACGCTGCATGCGAGTTTGCGTCCTTAACCTTCTTCCGCATGGAACCGCTGAGCCAAGGTACCCCGCGAGGGAATTGCAGGGTCCTAACCGGCGGTGAGATAGCCGTGGACATAGAGTTGCATGGGGGGGCCAGTCCAACTGCTCGCACCTTCTTCCCTGCGATCATGGCCTCAACTGTAGCCCTCACTGTCGGGTCCAGCAGATCCTGCTCTGGCCCATCGTTGAGCTCGAAGGTGGCGACCCACGGCGCCCCAAGTTCAATGAGAGCCTTTGCAATTCCTTTTGAACCTGCGTACAAGTCAAGGGCCCCTCGCTCTTCGAAGTTTGCCCGCTTGCCCTTGAACATGAACTGCTTCGCTCGAAGGCCGAAGGCCGAATCCTCACATGGAATGGAGTTGTCCTCTCGCCCCGGAGCCAGTGGGAGCTCGCACTCCGCGACGGCACCCATGCTTTCCAGCCCATCAGCGACGAGGGCCGTCTCACTCTCAGACGTCGACGCTAGGTGCCCAAAGTCGAATGCAGCCGGGCCACCAGGCTGTCTCCGCATCCAAGCGTCGAAAGGGGCTTGGGCTCCAGCAACCAGAGGCGCCCACCAGGCCGGCAATGGCCTCAAAGGGCGGGGAGGGTCTTTACCCCGTGTAGGGGCATCTCCGGGGTTCAACTCGCTGAGGAAGTACATGAAGTGGGGATATATCCCGCATGACAAGTAAGGACCCAGCGAGGCTGACAGCATGTTGTTCAAGGCGTTCGACGAGGCACGGCCCTTGGTCAAGGCGCCAAGCCCGACCTGAGAGTCCAGGCCACTCAGCAGCCGAACAGATGACTGCGCCTTTGCTATGTACGACTCCTCCAAAAGATATGCTCGCAACTCCTTGCAGTTGATGTGCTCGTTCGGCCGAAAACCCTTCCGCCATCTCTCCTGACACTGAAGGCATGTGGCTAAGGTCGAGGCAAGCTCATTCGGCTCCAGCGGCACGCCGCCTGGCAGCTCATCCTCAACCTTCAGCAGGTCTTTCTCACGAAGCCAAGCATGGCCTGCAGGAAGCAGATGGGTCCACGTTCCCTTTGCCAAGCTGTGCCGGCAGAATTCAAGAACGAGATGCGGCGGAACATATGCTCTGACAGCTGCACCTCCCCATCCTGACGCATCTGTAGCCACAATGAAGTCTGCGGGCTCAGCGCGAAGGTCAACTACACAAAGTGCACCTAAAGACACAAGAACCCACAACTCATCAATCAAAGAAGTTGAAGGCGAAAGCTTAACGACGACATTGGGATCGTCACCGTCCGCAGCTGCGAAGAGTAGGTCTACCACAGAGAGCATTCTGCGCCTGACCAGAAGAACCGAGGTCCAAGATCCACATAGGCTCTTCAACAAGCCACGAGTAGCAAATGTCAAGCTCGCGACCCTGATGGTGACCGCGATGAGCGGCCAAAGACGGCTCCTGGCAGGACGAACCAAGCCCCTCACCCCATCCAGCTCGATGCCCCAGAACTTCGATGCGGGCTCATTCTGAAAAGCCTTCTTGGGGTTCGAGAGGAGATGTGCTCTGCTGTAGGCCTCGTCAGCCCATTGCATCCGTTCGTCGGCATGGGTCCCGCCTGAGCCATCCCCTGCCTTGCCAGCTGTAGCCAGGACCTCCTCCAAGACAATCAGGTCGTCGATGATGACTCCTACCATGCAAGGGGTTCGCGGCACTGGGGTAGCAAGAGAGATTAGTTCTTCCACAGAGAAGACATTGGCTGCTCTGAGGACACCGAGGTGGGAGCACTGGGCATACTCGCACGCGCTGCAGTCTCCCATAGCCAGCGTCGACAGCCCTACTCGAGCTTTAGACGGAAGGCCTGGAATGTCCCCGAAGACATACTGCAGCTCCTCCTTGTTCAAAGTGCCTGCCAAGCAGTTGCGAACCATCCTTTCACGACTCACCACAAACTGGTAAAAGAAGTCGCGAAGATCCCGGCCTGAAGCTCGAAGCTCGCAACCGGGCGGAAGATAAATCTGGCAGACCTTGTCAGCGCAAGCCAAGCCCTTTGTCCAAGTGTGCAATGGTGTCTCATACACGTTCGCACCTCGGCCGTCCAGAATTAATCTGTCTCGCTCCAGGTCCTTTATCACAGAGAACAGTCCGGAAGATATGCCCGATGAGCACTCATGAGGTTCCAGAATCCCAAGTCTCCCTGTCCTCGCCAAAGTGCGGTACAACTCCAGCTTGTTGCGCCGGGATGCCATGACGCACGACCTTGCGGGCGCAGGTTCTCGGGGTTCAGCCATTCTGTGCTCCAGGGGATGCTCAAAGACATGTGCTGTATGCTTGTCCATGTACGGCAAGGGGTCGAAGGAAGGAGGAGGGGGCATAGTGATTCGGTCGGCCTCTATCTCTTTAGCTGCAATCAACTTTTTGCCTCGGAGCTTGCCAGTGATCCAGCCGTAGGAGCGCCTACCATCTGTACTATTGGCGTTGCCATGGTCCAGGGGCTCATCGTCCTCCGGATCAAGCAGGTTTGTTGAGAAGGCGTCACCATGCGCAGCTCCAAGCCCTCGCATGTAACGGGGAAGATCCCTCTCAGTGGCCAACAAAGTTCGGTGAAGGGCTCCCAGCGCGGCGTCCTGATCCTCCAGCTTCGAGGCTGTCCGTCCCAAAGCAGACGGAACTAGCGAAAAATTTTCATAGTCGTCACCCACCAGCTCCTCCAAAAGCTGCACCATTTGCCACTGGCGTTTGCTCAGCGGCGTCCCGGCTCCCATATACTGGCCGGCACCCGGCTGGGCCTTTGCAGGAACAACCAATCCAGCGCCGCAATGGCGACATTGATCAGCTTTTTCCTCCAAGCCTGTCGGATGCCAGCTCCAGGTCTGAAGACTTCAGGGTAGGGCAGCGGCATCGGCCAAAAGAGTGACGTCGCCCCTGATGGGTGTCGGGGCTGGCGGATCGCATCAGCGACAAAGGCCCCAAAAGTGCACTTCGCTCGCAACACCAGTCGAGGCAATGAATTCAACAGCCCAGCCACACGGATTTCAGGCGCCGCAGCCCCAGGCACCTTCAAACGGCCTGCTGAGGGACTGCCCCCTGTTGACACGCAGCCAGGTTTCATGCATCGGCTGCCGCCTTGGCCTTCGCCTTTGACTTCGGCTTCGGCCCTGTCTCGGATGCCGGGTCCTCGTGCGCTTGCGCCTTTCCTTTCTGAAGCTTGCGACGGCGTTCCACGTAGGTCTCGGTGTCCTGCAGGTGGTGCAAAAAGATCTCCGTCCAGCGCGGATCCAGCAGCCGGCTCACAACTTGCTCTCCCACTTCTGGCCCCGCATGGCTGGCGAAGCTGTGGAATGGTGGGCTCTGCTCTAAGCTGATCTCGGCTGCGAGGGTCCACGACCCCCGGTCCAATGCCACTTGATCGGCCTGAACCAGCATCAAGCTGGCGCGGGCACGAGCCTCCTGCACCTTGCCTTGAATCAAACAGTCGTGGATTCCAGCGATACCCCAAGCGTTTCGGACTGCGGCCTGGTAGTTGGTCAGGCGCGACCTGTGTTCCAGCCAGCCGCGAGCCGACAGGAGAGGCGCCGGCATCCCTGGCGGGACTGTGGTGGAAAGAACATCTTCTAGCATCAACTTCTCCACAACATGAAATATTTCTTCCGGCGACTCCTTCAGAGCAAGACGGAGAGCTCGACGAGCCACTGCATTCTTTCGAGAGCTCAGACCTCCCCCATCGCTCGCAGCGCCAACCGATGCCACTCCATCTAGCGCTTGGTCGAGTTTCGAGCCTCTTTTTGCTTTCTGATTCTGCATCTCTTCCACCAGCGCAGTCAGCTTCACCAAGGCCACGGTCACCGGGTCGCCATCGTTGCTCACCACCGGCAGCAATCCAGCATCGGCGCACCTTGGCTTGGCGTCCTCGGCCTCGCCATCGCTTTCTCCCAGAGGGTTTCCCCCGAGAGGGACAGGTGCCTCCTGCAGCCGCCTTGCCGGGTTCCCAAAGAAGCCATGTCCTCCAGGGCTTTGTGGTCCACACCCGCTGCAAGGGCTGCCTGCACCACCCCAGGGTCGAGGCCTGGGAGGCTGTTGGTCCTTGGCTTCTGTTGGGGCCGTGCAGGCGAGGAAGTCGTGGCTGGGGAACTGCGCGTGCCCACGTGATGCACTTGCTGGGATTTCGTCAAGGCCTTGATGGTCTCTGCCATGGAACTTACCGCAGCTTCGAGACGACCCAGCCTGTCCTCCCTTGCACCTTGATGGCGCGCGAGGGGCTCGCCACTCTCGGCAGTGTGGAACTGGAACTTGTCCTTCGCAACCTCCACCAAGGCCTGGGCGAAAGGAAGATACCCAGACTCGCCGGCAGTGTCCTGGAACGCCACTGAGGGCCCCACAGCCCCGCCTTCGTCTGCATCGTCGAAGGAGACGCGGTTCGCGAGCTCCTCCGCCAAGAACCCCAGCCACACCTTCATGCGGACGCCAGGTTGGGCTGTAGATCGCTCGTTGCGAGCCGTCGCTGCCATCTCCACAGCACAAGCTTTTGCCAAGGCTCCCGGCGGGAGCTTGCGAGAGATCGCTCGTCGATGCCATGCAGGCTGCGGCACAGCTACCAGGGTCCTGCCCTCCAGCTCGCACACGAAAACCACCTCGATGGTCTCAGAAACCTCTTCGCCCTCACCAAGGATTGCCAAGGAGCCCACAAGGAACTCCTCGTCGGCCGTTTCACCGTCGTAGACGAAGAAGGTATGGCCGTCAACCTCCTCGCCTTCGCCCTCTTCACCACTCATTGCTCGAAGGCGCTGGGCCTTCCAAAGCCTCCCGCCTCCAGCGCCAAGTAAACGTCAGACTGGGCCGGGAGCCCCACAAACACTGACGCACCGCACTCAGACCCCTTCTTCACCAACTGCTTGCACGAGCCGAACTTACAGAAGACCCTGGGGGGATCGAACCTGCGGCCCTCAAAGGATTGCACAACGATCCAGTACCTAGATGCCTGAAGTAGCAGATCACGCGAAGACGAGCCCCTATGCTCGCCACTCACAGCTCGCCTCAAGTAGGCACCCACTCGGCGACACACCTCCTCAAGATGGCTGTCTCGCCTCCACGCCCTCCACCACTTCAAAGCACTCGCCTTCGAGATCCGCCACACGGGCCCTAAGGCGGAGCACTTCGGTCTTCAACTCAAGCAGCTCAGCACGAAGAAGGTCGAACTCGGCCCGGCCCACGCTCATCCAAAGCCCCTTTTCACAGGAGCCTATACAGAGGAGCTCGCTGCTCGAATCCCAGACGTCTCAGAGCCAAGCGGAACAGCAGGATTCGTGAGGTAATGATTGCTTCACACAAAGGTATCAGCAGGAAGCCAATACACACTCCTATAATCAGCGATGGCCAATGTATGTTCAGCTCACTTGTCTCCTCTGCTGAGGTCCGGGCAGGACAAAAGTTGACTCAAGAGGAGGAAGTTCAGAAGGGACCAGAGGCGAGTCCGGAGATGACAAGGACAGATACCGGACCAGATGGAAAAGGAGGGAGAGGCCGGAAGTGGCCCCAGTAGCTACGACGGCCCTCGACATCCAAGCCAAAATTCTTGCAGTCGTTGGCAATGAACATGAACAGACATGCCATTGGCCAGGTTGTCGAACAAAGCTTAGAGCTGTACTGCACAGCCATCCTAGGACAGCAAACCCCCAGAAGCCGTTTCGTAGACTGTAGACCTGTAGTAGAAAAGCCCGCTTGAAAAGAAAGGATGCAGTCTCAGTCATAAAACTGGCTGAAGCATAGCACGTCGAACATCGAGGTCTCCTACTGTACACCACAAGACATTCGCAACGAAATCTTGTATCCCACAGATCGCGCGTGAAGCCTTATCGGGTAACCCAGAGTTTTATGCGGCCAGTAGCCAGCGGAATGCAGCCATCCCATCCGAGTACTTTCGCAAGCAAAAAGCATCCAAAGCAGGTGTCTGCGTGAGGCTCGTGTGGGGTTGCATAAACTCCGTGCCAGGCCCACACACTACGCCAATGTGATTCCGGGTTGGAAATTCCCATGCCTCGTGCCGTGATGCAAATTCTCACAAGGTGCTGTGCCTTAACTGTACTATCACCAATACCAAACCTCGCAAAAACATGATTGGCATGAATGTGTAGATCCATGTAGATCCCCAAAACTACGCTTTGGCGGGTCGATTTTACATAGTGTGGGTCAACTTGATCCATGGGCCCATGAAACAGCCAAGCCCCGGAAAGGAATAGGACGAGAAAGAGAAGACAGAAGGAGAGAGGGATAGCGAGACTACGAGTTACACGCAGAAAATGAGGCCCTCCTCCAGGCCGACACAACGACCCGAGCTGCGCTCAGATCTTTTCTGCTCCTCGAAAAGTCTGTTCTGGTGGAGTGTTTCAGCTTGAGGCCTGTCTGCTGAGCCTTTGGGCCTTGACGCTATGAGTGTTGGTTTGGCAGTTCTCACAGCAACATGCTCATCTTAAGTTCGCAGCTCAGGTTGGAGGCTGAAGGGCTTGGAGCTGCCCCATGAAGGAGTGCTGGCTCCGGGCTGAGCCCTTTCTAGGGGCCATAAGAGGATGGGACGTTTGAGGCTGCTTATTCAGGCTCTTGTCGAAAATTACAAGTCAGTGCATGCCTGCTATGAGCGTTGAGAAAGGCTTGTGGCACATCCATAGCGGACCCTTTGCACCTTGCACCCTTCTCTGTGCGGAGTCGGGGTTCAGGGTTTGTGCGCAGTCGGTTTTTGGTCCAGCTGCTCATTCCTCTAAAGGCTACTGCTGGTATGTTCAAAGACAAGCAAAGTGTCGAAAGTGGCGGTAATAATCTCCGTGATCCAACCATGTAAAGGAGCCTCCTTAAACCCTGGAAAACCGGCCTGCTGCCGCCGGTTGAGCTCGGCTCGTTCTTGAAGCTTCTTGCGCAAAGCCTGCCATCAGTTGGGCAGAACGGATCTACAACGCGCAAGCCAACGCCCGAACCCCTTAATCTCATATCCACACAGCCTTGAAGCCTGAAACTCTCAAAAACCAGCTACAGTATGCCTTGAACACATCTGCACCCTCTTAACGACATGAACCCTTCCTGCTCCAGATGCATTGTGGGTACGCTCAATGCAACACTATCTTCAATCCACTGTTAATACTGTTAAACTCATCCATAGAACCTCGGGCAGCTGATCCGCGGCCCTTGGAGCGCGGCGGCTGAAGTAGCCGCTGCTGGGCCTGGCATCGGCGGGACTACTTGGAAGAAGGAAGCAGAGACTCGGAGAGGAACTTCAGAATACAATGAGTACACCTGATAGGTCAAACTTTCATGCGCGGTGATCATGTAAACGAGGTCAGAAAGCACTGGGCACCCCCAAGTGCTGTTTTCGCTTCTGCTCGCAGAGCGGTTGTGGCTGCGGAGTCTTACTGTTTATCCACTGGCTTCTTGCGCAAACTGCCGAAACTCATGTCCTACTCCGTGAGTCAAAGTTGACTGTTCTGTGCAGAGAGAGAGAGAGAGAAAGAGAAAGAGAGAGAGAGAGAGAGACAGAGACAGAGACAGAGACAGAGACAGAGAAACAGACAGACTGAGAGGGAGAGGGAGGGCGGAGAGAGGGGGAGAGTGCGGGAGAGCGAGTGAGGGAGAGAGAGGGAGAGAGAGGGAGAGAGAGGGAGAGAGGGAGAGAGAGAGAGAGAGACCGAAGGAGAAATAAAGAAATCAAGAAAGAGAGTGGGTCCAGTAGTAGATGCTGACCTTTAGACCGGCCTAGAAGGGTGAAATCAGGGCTTGGTGCTCAAAAGCACCTCCGAACGCAAGTCCCCAAACACCTAAATAATCCTTGATTAACTTGAACTTGCCGACACAACCGTAGCCGTGAAACAAAGCCTTGGATGACTCTGACCACCCAACGCGAGATTTCGTAGTTTTCGCAGTTTCCAAGCAGGTGCCTCGATGAGCTCGACTCCATGCCTGCCCAAGCATATGGTTCGGCTTGCACCGGCTTTGCAACGTGGGATTTGGGGTTTAGAACGGTGTAGCGGAAGGTTTGAGATGTGCTGTTCACATGCAGACAGCTTAGGGCTTCGGAGAGGGGAGGGGCTGGGGTATCGCTGATGCAAAACCAGGCTGGGTTCAAAAACTTGGTGGACATCCTGAGGGCTTAATCTCGCAAACTGCGCTTGGAGAATGTCTGCGGCTCAACACTGATATCCTACGAGATCCCAGCCTGGTGTGCAAGTGCTTGCACTTGCGCTCCTGCAAAACACGTCTGACGTTGTTGTGGCTTGGGAGACAGGTCTTGAAGGTCTCCAACAACAGGGCTCGCGTGGGCCCAGGGACTCACTACTACGGGCCCTAAGGCCTTTTACGGGCCTCACGGGCACTGGCGGGGCTTCTACGAGTCTCACGGGTTCTGACGCTTCCACGGACTCATCGGGCTCGGTCACGGCCATGGGCCTATGGGGTCTACGGCCTCACTGCCACAAGCTACTCACGGTTAGGGTTCTGATACACCGCTCGGATCAGCCAGGTAATACGCCCGACCCCAACCGCCCTGGCCAGTGGCTCAGACATAATTCCAATAAGAAGGTTGGCACTGTGGGACGTGTGTTTGTTGATAGATGTCGGGCTCGTCCCAATCCTAGCAAGTATCTGACCTCTGAAGCAAGAACCTCCTGGGCCCACATCACGAAGTCTCGAAACCCTTCGTTAGAAATTCAGTTTCGTGGCCTTAGCATGCTTCAGGCTTCAGAATTCAGAATGCTCTAATAGCAGCTCCAGTGAGAAACCCCGGAAGCTTCCACGCCGAAGGAAACTCAGGGCTCGACTCTGCCATATCCATGTCTGGATGCGGAGGCCTAGCGGGACAGACAAACTAACCTTCTAGCAGTACTACTGCAGCACCATACGATACTGCACGATGCTTTGCGGGCGCTAGTACATCGCTGGTATATCTTTAATGGTGTCTTGAGCGCGTCTTGGAGGGCTTTGCTAGCCCTAGGTCTGCCGGCTTTGGACTGGTAAGGATCTCTTGGGGCCACAGGCAGGGAGAGGACCAAGGCGTACAGCAATACATTGCCGAAACCCCGAAGACCCTGAACAAATAGCCTAAGCCACAAAGACCCGAATCTCAAACCCTAAGCCTAAACCCCAATCCCAACCCTCAGCCACTGGAGCAGGGGACGGGCTGGGGGAGGTTGAGATTCCGAGAGGCCGTCCAGTTTACCATATGTTGTTACAGGTACCTGCAAGACAGGAATGAGTAATAGGCCCATGCGAAATCATAAGGCACGAGTTCCCACGAGGGGGCCCCAAACCTTGCCGTCACACACGCAAAGGAACAAAGGACCCTTCAATCCACATCCATCCCTCAGCCCAAAGACCTCCGATTTTCAACATGTTTCAACCTCAGTTCTACATCGGCCTGCGGGGAAGGTGCCGGGACTGAAGTGGCTGGCTCCTATAGCGGAGGCGAGGACTTTCGACT